GAGAGAGAGAGGGAGGAAAAGTGAGGCAGCGCCGAGGAAACGCACAGCGGGTATACCATGCCGACACCAGCAGCAAGCAAACGACGCGCTCCGCCTCCCACGGAATGTGACATGTTAAAACGCAAGGGGGGGGGATTCGCCCCTTGACCCGCGCAGCTAGTACTCAGAGGGGGACAAGGTACTCTGGGTTATATATACATATATATACACATATATATATAAATAAAAACGTAGGGGAGTACCCCCCCGACGGGTGTCAACCTCGCTTCATCGTCGCGCCGCGACGGGGGTCGGAGCGCCTTCGGCGCGCGGTGGCTGCCCGCGACGGGGGTCGATATGGGGCCGTCGGCGGGGGTGACGCCCCCCGACGCGTATTAAGAAACCCTGAGTGTTTATCCGTACCGCTACCGTTCGCCCGTTTTCCACTTTGTCAGCCTCCTGAGTGGTCGTTCTCGCCACCGCTGGATTCACCTCGAAGTCCTGGTCAAAGCGCGCCCTATGAGAGGTCCTGGGGGTAGTTGTATGAGTACCTTCTGGTCTTCCCAAGTATCTGGTCCCCATTGGTCGTTGAAAGTAGGTTTAAGTCGGGCCTGTCCCTCTACAGGGAGGATGTTCAAAAATAGTAAGAAATAGTCCTGGGACGAGTTGTTTGACTATTTTGGTTCATTTAGGTGCATTGTTTGAGGAAATTTGATTTTTCGTCCAAAATCCGCCTGTAGGGGGGACACGCCCGACTTAAAAACATGTGTTTTGCTGGACTCCCAGATCCCAATCTGTCTCAAGCGCCTTCCGATTTCAGCCACGGAGTGGTGTTCCCTTCTCTTTCCTGCTTCGTCTGGCGGGCGTGGGCCCAGATATCCTTACTATACCTCGTGCTCCTGCTTGCCTCTTACGGCCGGCGCGTGCCCTCCCAGGCCCTCTCCCCTGCGAGCCCCGCAGTCGAGGAAGCGCAGGCATGGAGCAGGGCTCAACGATTCGCCGCGGGTCCCGCTCCCGTGCAGAATCGGCGCGCTCCGTCGTCAAGTCGAGCGGCGTTGGCCGCACGCTTCGGGGGCGGGGGGCCTTCCCGATCCGCGGATCTGGCGCCCACGCGCCAAAGTCCACGGATCCCCCTCAACAAAAACATGGAGAGGCTGCGAGAGAAATCGCGCCTGGAGCCTTGGGCCTCATCCTTCGGAGCCCTCTTTCGAGTGGGATCGATCTGTGGGGGCCCTGGGGCCCGAAGCTGTGCGCAAGCGCCTGGCTCGAGAAATCGGGCGGGTGCCAATGGGTGGTGGCCCACATGGGGGGTGAAGAAAAAAGAGCCCCTGTCTTCGCCTCCCATTCTGGTCACCCCCCACTTTTGGTGACCCCCCATTTTGGTCATCCCCCCGTTGGGGGGTGGCCCACATGGGGGGTGAAGAAAACAGGGCCCCTGTCTTCACCCCCCATGTTGGCCACCCCCCATTAGTCAGGAGCGACAGAAGGACGTACACGTACATGAATCCACGCTGGTTTCGAGAGTATGCATTGCGCGAATGTTCGTATCGCGCGGACGGTCTCGCGGATCGAGGGGCCGTGTTCATGTGCACGGTTTTTTCCGTACGTCCTTTGTGGCTCCCCGATTGGCACCCGCCCGAAACGCCCGGCTCGAACAAAGTCGAGACGCCAAGGATGTCTCGGCGCGCGCCCGACGCAGGCGGTCTTCCTGAACGGCGGCGGGCGGAGCCTCCTGCCGCACCTCCCCGCGCACTCCCGGGTGAAGGTCTCGGGAGCAACGAGTAGGGGGGGGGGGAAGAGGCGTACTCCAAATCCTTTATTCATCGACCCCCACCCTAAGCAACCAACCCCCCCTCCGAATGCGACCTAGTATTCCAGACCCTTCTCTCTTCGACGGGGCGCCTTCATAAACCAGACCCCCTAGGCTCCAATCCAAAGAAAGCGCCCTGATAAACCGGACCCCTCCAGTTGTAAAAGAGGCGCCTTAAAAATTTAGACCCAGGGGACGATTAACAAGGGATTTGGAGTAGGGGCGAATGCATCGACCCCCAATCGCCCACTGATCGCCGAGATGGGCCCAGTGGCCCCCACCTTCCCAGGAGCGTACGGACTCACTCTCGGAGGCCTGTCACCGATCTGTCGGCGAGGTATCGCCGATTCCAGGTCAGGGGTGGACCTAAACGGTGTTTTGGCGATTTCGTGGGCCGTTTTCGTTTCGATTTCGTTTTGCGCTAGAGGCGGATTGAAGACAACACGAGGGAAAGCGAAGACGAAACGAAAACGAAAAACACCGTTGAGGTTCAGCCCTTTGCCAGGTCGATGCTTCCCCCCTACGCTTGGCATCGCTCGGACGTGTGCAGTTTTTCCTGCGGCGAGGACCATCGAGGAGCATCCTTGATCATTTGGCGAAAAAACCACGCACGAAACCGAACAAAAACACAGGAAATGGACGTCCGAGCGATGGCCAGTACGCTCATCCCCTCCTATCGTTGCCCCTCAAGGTCGTCCACGGCAACACACTCACCGCGGCCGTGGTCTGCTTCCGGCTGCGGCAGTGCATCCGGCCAGAGCAGGTGCGCCACCCGCCTCCTCTTCCCCCTCCCCCTCCTCCTCCTCCTCCTCCTTCTCCTCCTCCTCCTCCTCCTCCTCCACCTCCTCCTCCTCCTCCTCCTCCTCCTCCTCCTCCTCCTCCTCCTCCTCCTCCTCCTCCTCCTCCTCCCTCCTCCTCCTCCTCCTCCCTCCTCCTCCTCCCCTCCTCCTCCTCCTCCTCCTCCTCCTCCTCCTCCTCCTCCTCCTCCTCCTCCTCCTCCTCCTCCTCCTCCTCCTCCTCCTCCTCCTCCTCCTCCTCCTCCTCCTCCTCCTCCTCCTCCTCCCCCCCTCCCCCCCCCTTCCCCCCCCGATCCCCCGGGAAATGTGGGAGGCGGATGGGGGGCGAAAGTTTAAGCAGTGGCGAAGCGTCTTGGCGTGCCCACATATGCCTACCAGGCAATGTTCTGAGAACCTGTTGTGGTGTCCACGATATGTTATCATAACATTTCTGGCCGAGACTGTCTTGTTTTCACACATCGGGCGTATGTTCTAAGAACCCTGTTTTTGTAATTCGAACATGTTTGGGTTCTAAGATGCTGTCGTATGCCGGGACGGTCGGTCCCTGCTCAAGGGGAGGCGAACATGCAGAACACATGGAACAGACTGGGAATATTGGGATTTGTTCCTGTTTATTTTTGCAGGGCTGGGCCTACACGCTGTTTTTGCTCGACTTCGGCTGCGTTGTGTTTTCTCGTCTTGGCAGGGAGGTTCAGGAAAAAACAAGTGGAGCAGAACGAAACACAACACAAGAGCAAACCGAACAACAACGCACAGGTCCAGCACTGTTCATTGTTGTGTCCCTGGGCCCCAGACAGTTTGGCACCCCTAAACAACGGGCGTACCAGAGGCGCAGAGGCCGCCCACGAGAACAATGGTCGCATTCAGTGTACCACATGATGCAACATGTTTATTACATCCATCCTCGTCGCCATCTTTCATCTTCATCACGGCGCCGACGTGTTGCCGTGCGCCCCCCGAGGTCGTCGTCCAACCGTCCTGCGGGGCGTCTCGAGGTTTTCGGGCCGGGTTTGTATCGCCAAATTTTGGACTGGAGGGTTTCTCCGAAGGGCTTCGGCGAACCGTCGTCCTCCTCATCCTCCTCCTGCCTCTCACACGCCGTGACCATAGTGGTATTGCTCGCCCCTACCTACACGCCGAGTGGAGGGTGTATTTCAGAGGTGTACTTTGATTACTACAGAGAATTCGGATGCAGCGTATTGCAGCACAGGGAATGTGTCGAACACTATATGGCATGGTTTGGCCATCGATCAGCACGTCCACGAAGCGAAGTGAGTCTAGAGAGGGAGGGACTCTGTTCGAAGCGTGGCCCCCGCAGGACTTTGGCAGAACATTACTTAGGCCCCCCAGCATAAGTGTGGCACGAAACTGGGCCTCCTGCGTTCCTTCCCTCCTCCTCTCCTCGTGTGTCGTTGTGGAGTGGCCGCGTCGTCTTCTTTTCCCTGCCTGGGAGCCCTGCTCGCTCAGCGCGTTCCCCAAGGAGTGGGCACGCGAGAGGACCAGCAGCTGCTCCCTCCGCACTGACCTGTAGGGACTCGCATTACGGGGCCTCTCTTACGGGGCCTCCTCGGAGCCTGCCCCTTAGAGCATCGGGGCACGCCCCTTGCCGGCCCCATGAAGTGTGGGCCTGCGGCAAATCGCATTCGCGGGGGATGTTGCAAGTCGTACCCCACGGCTCCTTGCCGGGAGTTTCGAAGTTGACCCCCTCATGCATGCGGATGTCCTGTCCTGTCCTGTCCTGTTCTGTCCTGTCCTGTCCTGTCATGTCCTGTCCTCCTCCTCCTCCTCCTCTTCCTCCTCCTCCACCTCCTCCTCCGCCTTCTCCTCCTCCTGCGCCCCCTCCTCCATATCCTCCTCCATTTCCTCTTCCCCTTTCCTCCTCCACCTCCTCCCCCTTCTCGGGTCGCCTACGGCCCCTGGGGAAGCCGTGCACCCGGGGACATTCACAGAGCGATCCGGCTCGAAAAATGGCGCAGAAAGGTAGGGTCCTGGTTTACAGGCGCGATGTTTTGCTGCGTCCCAGTTTTGTTTCCGACGTCGGCTCTCAAGGGAGGGTCGAAGGTGGGCCTGCGGGCTCTGAGGTTGTGGCCTTCTGGGGTTGCTGCGGCCTCGTACTGGTGGCGGGAGGGCGTCATCGCAGTGAACACGGCAACCCCTACGACCCCCCCCCCGTCCCCCCGTCCGTTGGACGTGCCATCGGAACGCACCCTCCCTGGTGCCGAACATTTCCTCGTCCTCCTCCTCCTCCTCCTCCTCCTCCTCCTCCTCCGCTTCCTCCTCCTCCCCCTCCTCCGCGCCCTCCTCCTCCTCCTCCCCCTCCTCCTCCTTATCCGCTTCCTCCTCCTCAGCAGGAGCTCGTGTTCACTGGCGCGACTTCGATGGTGGGCACGCCCGTCGTGCTCAGGCTGCTGCAGGAGCGGGAGGGGGGGGAGGGCGCGGCGCCAGGCCAACAGGGGTTCGGCGCCACCCCAACGCAACCTCTGCCTTCATTTGGGTTGACGCGTGGCGCTGGTGTTAGCTGGGATCGCGCCTCCTCCCTTTCCTCCCCCTCCTTTTCCTCGAGGCCGGGGGATTGTGGAGCCCCTCGTCGTTTTGATCTTGATTTTACCGAGTGGGACGCTGTTTCATCTTTCTAGAGTTTGATGTTGTTTGCCATTTTTCTGCTCGTCGTGATCCCCTCATACATTGCTTCTCCCGCTAGATCGTTATATCGTGTTCTCTCTCTCTCTTTTTCTTTATGTGGCTCCCTCTGTCTATTTCCTGCACCAGGCGAAAACATGCCGATGCGATATCAGTTTTTTTGCCAACCAATGCCAATGCAATGTGAATGGGGAATTCCCTTCGCTCGGTGGTTTTCAGTCAGAGTCCTTTGTGGACGGTGTCACTACGAATCTGTATTCGGAGGGTTTCAATTTGAATGCCTCTGTGACGGGTTTCGATAAGGATCCTCCTGTGGAGGGTTTCGCTCGGATTTTTTGTGGGGGGGTTCAGTAGGAGACCGTCTGCGGAGGGAGACATAGGACTCGCCAGCGCAATGCCAACGCAATGCCGAAGCAGTTTCATCGCAATGCCCAAGAAATGCCAAGGCGATCTCAATCCATTGCCAGTGCAATGCCAATGGGGGGGCGTTTGTGGTAGATGTTAAGTGGGAACTTACTCTTGGAAGGTTTTAATAGGAACCGCTGTGCGAAAGGAGACACAAGGACGCGCGAACGCAATGCCAAAGCAATGCCCAATCCAATGCCAATGGGGGAATCCTTTCGCTCTGTGGATTTCAAGCAGAATATTTTGTGGACGGTGTAACTACGAATCCTTATTCGGAGGATTTCAATTGGAATGGGGATCTTCCTGTTGAGGGTTTCACTCGGAATTTTCTTGCGGGGGGTTCAGTCGGAGTCCTTTGCGGAGGGAGACATAGGACTCGCCAGCGCAATGCCAACGCAATGCCGAAGCAGTGCCATAGCAATGCCAAACCAATGCCAAGGCGGCCCCAATACAATGTCAATGCAATGCCAAGGAGGGGGACCCTTTGTTACATATTCCAAGAGGATCTTACTTGCAGAGGGTTTAACGCGGAATCGTTCTGAGAAGGGGGGCGTGAGAATTCGCCAGCGCAATGCCAACGCAGTGCCACCAGAATGCCGAACCAACGCCAAGGCGAAACCTAATGCCAACGCAACGCCAGTGAGGGTGGATTGTTGGTAGTAGCGATCAATATCAATCCTTCTACAAGCCCTTCATGTGAATGATGTCATCCACACAGGAATCTTTCGAAGGACCCTTCTTCGGAGGAGTTCAATAGGCATCCCTGTGTGGAAGGATTCGCATGGAACCCTTTGTGTGCGCAGGATTGCAAAGTGAATCCTCATAGTGGGGGTCCGTAGTCACCATTCTTGTGGACGTCTTCAATCGGAATCCTTTATGAGGAGCGGAATGCCATCGCAATGCCAACGCAATACCAATGCGATGCCACGCCGTTACCAAACCAATGCCAATGCAATACTGATGGCGTGGTTCCAGTCTTTCAACATATTCCGACAGAAGCCCTGGTGTAGATGATTTGGTTACGGATCCTTCGTCGGAGGATGTCGATAGGAATCTCCTTGTGGAGGGTTTCGGCAAGAATCCGTATGTGGAGGGTTGAACCATGAACCCTGCAGGCGGGGGCTTTCAAAAGGAACCCTTCGTGCGGAAGGTTTCAATCGGATTTTTTTTGGTGGAAGCCACTCGCCAGCGCAACGCCAAATCAGTGCCAACGCCATGCCAAACCAATGACACGGCAACCCCAACCCAATCCCAATGAAATGCTTGGGGGAATATATTGTGGTCGTTTTCAATAAGGCTCCTTCTATGGAGTGCTTCGGATGGGTTCAATGCGAACCCTTCTTGTGGAATGGTTCAATCGAAATCCTGTTCGTGTGCGGCTCGGCAGAATCATTCTGCGAAGGGAGCTATTGGAACCCGCCAGCGCAATGACAAAGCAGTGCCAACGCAATGCCAACTTAATGCGAAGGTGGCCCCATGCCAATGTCAATGCAATACCGATGGGGGAAAGCTTGCGTGATAGAGTTCAGTCGTTTTGTTTCGTTGTGTTTCCCAACTCTCCTTGGGTATTCGTTGTGAATAAGGGACTGTGGTCTCCACCTTCCTTCCTCCCGCCTCCCTCCCTCCTCCTGCGTCCTGCTTCCTGCTTTATTCCCAGCCCTCCTTGTTTGGGTATTCGTTTTGAATAGAGCACTGCTCGCGCGTCTCCTCCCGCCTCCTTCCTGCCTCCTGCCTGCCTCATCCTGTCTTGCCTGCGGGGGGCTGCGATCTGTGAAACAGTCGCTGCGTTCGAGGCCTGCTGGGGGGCCCAGCACAGTGACGCCACGCGCGGACCCAAATTAGACCTCGCCGTCCCTGGGGGGTTGCGATCTGCGAAACTGTCGCCACTTTCGAGGCCTGTTGGGGGGCCCAGCACAGTGACGCCACGCGCGGGGCCAAACTGGACCTCGCCATCCCTGGGGGGCTGCCATCAGTGAAACCGTCGCCACTTTCGAGGCTTGCTGGGGGGGGGCCCAGCACAGCGACGCCACGCGCGGAACCAAATTAGACCTCGCCACCCATGGGGGGCTGCGATTTGTGAAACTGCCGCTACGTTCGAGGCCTGCTGGGGGGGGCATCACCGTGACGCCACGCGAGGACCCAAATTAGACCTTGCCGTCCCTGGGGGGGCTGCGATCTGTGAAGCTGTCGCAACTTTCGACGCCTGCTGGTGGGCCCAGCACAGTGACGCCACGCGCGGGGCCAAACTAGACCTCGCCATCCCTGGGGGGGGGGCCCGGCACAGCGACGCCACGCGCGGACCCAAATTAGACCTCGCCATCCCTGGGGGGCTGCGATCTGCGAAACTGTGGCCACTTTCGAAGCCTGCTGGGGGGCCCAGCACAGTGACGCCACGCGCGGACTCAAACTAGACCTCGCCATCCCTGGGGGGGCTGTGTGTGAAGCTGCCGCCACTTCCGAGGCGTGCTGGGGGGGGGCAGCACAGTGGCGCCACGCGCGGGCCCAAATCGGACCTGCCGTCCCTGGGGGGCTGCGATCGGTGAAACTGTCGCCCCTTTTCGAGGCATGCTGGAGGGGGGGCAGCACAGCGATCGCGATTGCTGAGCCTGGTGACGGAGTATAAAGAAGAATGCTGGAACAGACGCACCAACCCCAGCATGGGATCCTTTGAACTGCGCAATGTGATCTTGGCAGATGTCCAAGCAGGTGCGCTAGGCCGGGGGGAGCGCCATGAGGACGTAGTCTTGCCGACTGGAAGATTGATGAGCAGTGCGTCGACTCATGATACAGCGGCTAGCGTTTGGGGCCTGCGTGCGAGGCGCGTGCGCGGCAAGCGCGCCCGCGCCGCCTACTAGGGCGTCGAGTGAATGAAGAGCGAGGCCCCACGCGGCGCAAGCTCTTCTGCTGGCTTCTAGGTTCCGTTTTGTGCAGCTATTGCATCCTGCAGTGACTGTGGCGACAATTGGCATGCCTCAAATCGTCGCCCCCCCCTTATCCTCCGATGTTCCTTTGTTGCCTCACTCGTGCCCTCCACGCCATGTTGCTGTGGCCACGTCAGCGGGGGCTCTTCGGGATCCTGGCGGGTAGTAGTTCAATCACATGTGTCTGCGTCTACGCTGCATCAAATTGTTTGGAACCCGCTGGGTGAAGAGTTGCACCTCGTAAAAGATGCAAGCGCTTTGCACGTCATTTGCTGCGGGCGAAGCGGAAAGCAACAGCTTGCTCCCCACGAGACGCCCTTCATGCCTCGCGATTTGCTCTCAGGCCCTCGATCACATCATCCTCGAACCGTTATTGTTTCTGGGACCCCGCCGCAGACTCACGTCAGACCTCGCCATCTCTCGGGGGCTGCGATATGAGATTCCCGCTTTTCGAAGTGGCCAGGGGTGCTCAGGGATTGTGAATAATCAGCTTTATATAGTCCTTGTCCTGTAGCCAGTGTCCTGCGAGCCCCCCGAACTCCGCATGCAGGCGCGCGTGGCCCGCGCTCCGCCATGTCCCCCCCCCTTTTTTAAAAAAGCGCAGTAAACTATTGGCGCCCCGCGTTTGCGCTGGGGTTTGGTACGTCGCCAGGGTAATTCGACATTTGTTTGGCGGAGGGCTTCGCGCAGAATCCTATTGTCCAGGGGTTCAATGTGGATGAACCCTTATTGTCGAGGGTTTCAGCAGGAATCCTTCTGGTAGAGGCTTTCAATGTGAGTCCTCCGCCGGAGGATTCCATTCCGACCCGCCAGCGCAAGACCTCCGACGTGCAAGCGCAACGCCAACGCACTGCCAAGTGCGATGCCAACGCAGTGCCAACGCGATGCCAAACTATGGCTAAACCAATGCCAACGCAATGCCAAGCGGGGTACATCTTTCCTTCGAAGCATATCCGTAGCAAAAAACTATAGCCTGGGGGGAGGGGGAGGAGGAGGCGGAGGAGGGACAGGATTTTTGTTTGCCCCTCTAACAATTATCCCGGCGAAGGAGCCAACCATGTGCAGTTGTGGGTACCGCAATTGTGGAAATCTTCTTCGGTGAAACTCCCTATGGGGCCACGAAGCGCTGCACTGGGTGGGGGGGAGCGTTTTGGGTGAATGGTGTGTCAAGTAAGGTCTCCGGGGGCGCATGCGGACGGTCCCACTGGGGGCTTCGGTGGAGCTCCTTATGGGGCCACGAGACGCTGAACTGGGTAAGTGAAGGTGCCAAATTGTGTTTCCTGGACGCATGAGGACGGTCCCACTGGAGGCTTCGGTGGAACTCCCTATGGGGCCACGAAACGTTGTATTGGGCGGATGAAAATGCCAAAATGGGTTTCCAGGGCGCATGCGCACGGTCCCACTGGGGACTTCGGTGGAGCTCACTGAGGGGCCACGAAACGCTGTGT